TCAAAGTTTTACAAATAAGTCGGCAATTTAAAATCTAAGATTTGGTTTCTGAAAAATATAAATCATCATAAAGAAACGAAAATTTAATTAAAATATTCTTAAATTCTGTCGACCTATAATTTTAATCAATTTATTAATTTTATTCAAATATTTTTCCATCAATTTGACGTAAACTTAATTGCTATATGCAGCACTATACTTCAGCAAGTATTATACTTTGTTCTGATAAGAGGTATTAATTTTATTTAATAATGAGTCCGCCATATAACTTTTCTTTATTGGCAGCAATTTAGAATTTATTGCCACCCATTTGAAAGTTAAACAGCTGTTTCAATGAAATTATTTTCGATTACTTACAAGAAGGATTGCACTTTCAAATAGAAAAGATTTAGATTGAAAAAATATTCAGTAGTTTATATATAGCATTTTCAAAAAAAAAAGTTATCTGACGGACCCTATACATTGTTTAGTTAATTGTTTATCAGGAAATCTATTATGAAAAATGTTATGTGCAAATATCAAATTGTTTTCGTGCATTTAATATTTATTTAAATGAATAATTACTTTATTACACAAAGCAATTGAAGGAGTAATCAAAATCTCAGAAATATTTCGGTACAAATATATTTTAAAAATTTCCAATAGTTATCAACGAAATCACCAAATTGATAACCTTGGAGTTATATACCGAGCATGATGTCAGGATTTGTAATACTTCAATCAAAATTCATCAAGTGTTCTTCCTTCAGTGGATAATTCCTATAGATAATATTTACTACTCCATTGTTCTGCATTTGAATGATGAAGTAAGAATAAGTATTTATAATGGTTCAGTGTGAAAATTCTATATTTTGTAAAGTATTGTGTATAACAAAAGTTTACATTAACATTTATTACATTTCGCGATGATTTTAGCTCAAAGTGACATTCAAGTTTAATTACTTGCTAATAAATAAAATTTGCGCGATATCAGGCTAAACAAAGAACACGTCTATCAGAAAAATATTGCATTAATTGGCCTTCGGTCTGAGAATGCAATAATTTATTTGTTTATCATTGTTTGTAATACATAACAATTCTGAGAACTCAAAACCAAAATGGAAACAGCGTGCATTTAATTTGCACGAATGTTAAAAGTTTATCAATAAGTTACATGAACTTATCAAATTCCAGTTAAATAATTTTGTAGAAGTGGCAATTTTTCTGATAATTGGGATTTTTTTATGATTGTTGTGAAATGAAATATTTACAATTAATTCCGTCAATTTAACTTACTCATATATAACTGAAACGTTTATAGGATTCATTTTGACAACAAAATGTTTTCTGTAAAGCATAATCATAATTACTGCTATAAAGTGCCATCTATGTTATTAGAAAATAAGATTATATTTTATTCAAGAGTTAGGAGTGATACAAACTGTTAACATGGCTTTTTTAAGAAGGCAACCTAGCGGTTTTAAATTCTATAATACTGATAATTTTCATATTGATGAAGCAATGCCGGAATAATACTATTTTCACTTGGAAATATATTTTGATCTATATTCGCAAGTAGAAGCCGATGTCACTACTGCTTGACACCATGCTGACTGATGGGGTATCAAACCTAGTAAGTCAAATTTGGAAAGCAAGAACTCTAATAATTAACTTACGGGGAAGACCTAAATCTTAATTAATTAAAAAAATTGCCACTCATATACTGATTTGAAAAATCACGACCCAAAAAAACTGAAATTGAACCAATCTTGTCCTATTTAAATGAAGTTCTGTTTTCGCATTTATTGGGCGCCTGATGCATTATTCGACTTTGCTTTTCTGACAAAATATTCATGCATGCCAATGAAAAACATATCTACATTTTGAACAAAAACCTTATTTTTGAATACAATGAAACTACAACAAAATATTTAAATCAACGATTGAGTAAACATTCACCAAATTATGATGGTATGCTCCAATAACCTTTCAATCATTTAAGAGCCAATAGCCAATATAAAAACTGGTAATTAATAACGCGTATATGATATAAACATATTATGTTTATATCATATAAACGTAATATGTTTAACATATGAAACATAATATAATTTATACAGTAATTAAGTCTTCATAATATATGTAAATTCTGAAAGAAGTTACTTAAATAATATGTTTATTTTATTTCAACATAACGAACAAGTTTTGAAAACGACTCATGTGACATGATGAGAGTGGCCTCGTTTGTCTGGATCAATATTGACCGGTAAAAGTCCCTGATTTTTTATTGAGTTTGCGGCCATTGAAAGAATATAAATTAATCTCGTTAATGTGGCGGACATAGCTCAGAGGTAGCATGTCCGACTCACATGCCGAAGATCGTTGGTTCGATCCCTGGCGCTTCCAATTGTAAAAAAAAATATCAGAATGTATAGAATTTCAATTGTAAGATGTATGTTAAAAATGATTAGAATGTATAAGATATTAGAATGTATAAAAATTGAATTAGAATTGAAAATAAAAAAAATGAAATAGTAGAAAGAAGTAAGAAGATAAAATAAGGAAGAATGAAGTTAAGTTGAACTACGTAAAAGGAATAGGATTTATGTGAAGAAGATAAGTTGAAAGAAAGTATATAGTATAAGAAGAATAGAATATAGATTGAATATGATGTAAAATTAGTATAGAATGTAAATAAATGTTGTAGGTGGCTAAATGCTCAGAGTAAGCGAAGCCAAATAAAAATAAAAAAAAAAAAAAAAAAAAAAAAAAAAAAAAAAAAAATCTCGTTAATTCTATATTTTTTATTAAACCTACAATTGTGGTTATAATAATTTTTTTGGAATTGATTATAATAGCATCATAATATTGTGCGTTTTATGACAAAAATCGATCTTGACTTAATTGAATGGTCAAAAGATCCAATACTGTTCCTTGAATTTTAAATTGTTATAGAATATATTTTATCTGAGTGAGTACTGCGTTATCATTAGTAACATGAACTCTTGACTTTAGACATAACACGAATTAGATACAATTTCTTAATTACACAATCGTACTTATATCATATGATAATATTACATTGCTGAATATAATACATATAGTTGTTGTATACATTTGTTGTATAAACAAAAATGAATATCAAAATTTAGAATATGATTCGAATATAAAAAATCCTTGTACACTGACAAATTCTGTGAAAATGAATTTAATCGCTAATATTTTCCGACAATTGTTACTGAATTACGAGTATAACTTGTAGAAATGTTTGATAAAAAATATTAAATTAAATATTAAATAGAAAACACATTGTTCAAGTTATTCGAGTATGTGATTGTATTCCAAAGTGAAGTAATTAAGTTGAATGATATTACACATTTCGTATTAAAAATTAAGTAAATGAAAAAAATTGCAAATGTTTATCTGATGTTTTGATATATACTATTCAAGTACACGAGTATTTTAAAAAATGTCTAGACATCTACTGGGCTGCCTTTTAAGCCATTTGTTAAAATAAAAATTATTAATCAATTACTAAATATCTTTATAATAGACAGATTGAAATTCAAACTTAATTTAAGCTCTGTTTATTTTACTAATAATAGTTTATTTATTAATATAGATTTATTTTATTAACATAGATTATCTACAGGGGAATCTTTTCAGTGGAGGAGACCTCTAAATGACATATTTAATGGATCACATAGGCTTATAGAAATTTGTATATCTGATTGTTTATAATAAATAAAAAAAATTAAAAAAGAACTGTATCTAGTAAAATAACCAGATGAAGAATTTTTGATAACAACTTATGAATATTAGACTATACTCGTTTTTATTTGTCCATTTAGCAAAGATATGCGAAAAAGTAGACAATCCGATCTTAATTGTATGAAATAATAAGAAAATATGGAGCTTTGCCTATAATATTAATAGCTTTTAGCAATTGTACTGATGTATTAACAACATATGCCTATTCTGGATTACAGATCTTAAGGCAAAGTTACACTTATGGTGTTCAAACTATTATTATAAGTGTAATAGCAATTTTCGGTAACATTATGTAACATTAATCAATTCAAAATAATCGGTACTGAGGCGTTGAACTCAAAATAAAATAGGCGGAAGTCAAACCAATATTATTTTGATATTTGTGCCATTTGGAGGTTAGATTTTGGCCGTTGTTAGTATCGATAATGTAAATAAACGGTCGTGAAAGTAAATAGCGTTTTGACCATTTCTGAACTACCAACACATTGAGAGTCAACATCAAGTAAGATGATTTGTGAAAATGAAATAGAAGCAGTTAGAATATAAAAATTCCAACATACTCGTATTTGAAATATAATATATTTTTATGAGGCACTAATAACAGCACATAGCTATGTTAATCAAAAATAGACTCAATAGACTATATTATAGCTTGTCGATAGCTCTAAATAAAATAAAAGACTAGTTAAAAATTGGTGAAACTTTCCGAATTGGAATTGTTAAATTTAACACTTTTGTTCTTTATCTCTGAAACGGCCGAGTCTGCTTTTACTCCCCATCAATACAAATCCAATGATTTTTGAATAATTCAAATCGGCTAATCCGTGCTCTCAAAATCATGAAAGATAATCAAAAATACCCCTCACCCACACACATACATCTATTTTTCCTTAAGTATTCCAAAATGTTTAGAAAACTTTGAAACGTTAAGTTATGCAAAAAAAATTCATTTTCGATTTTGTTGCAATGACTATATAATTTACCCTACGGAAAGGTAATAAGAAAATCGGTTGATAAAACAATAAATTGTACTACGGACAGGTCGTACAATGAAAAAAATTGTTTTGGAATCAAATCATCATAATAGGTTAGGAAGAGTCAAATTAAATACACTATAAGGCTTTTTAGTACAAAAAATTAGAAAAGATTTTTTCAACTTTCATTATACATTATTTATGCATACAGTATATAAATAGGTCAAATGTAAAATACCTATTTCGAAACAAAACAAAATATATTTTTTTCAATACCTTCTCTAGCAAAACTCCTGGCATCGTAATAGCAGAATACTTTATTTGGAGTATCGGCTGCAGCAAGTTGCACTGCAGCGAAGCAGGCCGTCGCCAGCAGCAGGCTCTTTCCTAACATCTTGCAAATAACTATATCACGTCTGCAATTGATCGATGTTCACTACTTAAAGTTTATCAATACACTGATTCTTGACGTCGGTAACTTGCAGACTTCATTTATGAAGAGATGTGTTTACAATTTTGTTGAGCAGGGGTGGCGAACATTTATAGCCAATTAATTGTTTGAAATAATTAGTAATCTATAACATGACAATAGCAAAAAGGGTATTACCATTATTATCATATCAATTTTTCAAAATCTTTACAAACGACATTACCTGTTTGTATATTTTCTATCTCAGTGTTTTGAAATAGTTATACAGACTTTAAATTCAGCAGCAAGTTTTTTTTTGTATATTTTCTATTATATATTTTGATTATAGATTATATTTTGCTATTAATTAAATAAGACAATATTTATTACAAGTCGAATTATACCCTCAATGCAACAAGTAGATTCATAACATAATCACAAAATTTAGTCATTTGTTTTATAAACGTAACCAAATATAGTTAAATTTAACTATGAATGCTAATTACTATAAGAACTAGTGGGGTGTATGGCATCGTGGCTTAAGGCAAAATGCCGGAACTTCCCGTACCGTAACGAAATGTTCGAGGAATACTGAATGTTTTCAAATAGATTATTATAAATATTGTAACATTGTCTAAGTTTTTATAAGAATTATATAAACTGAATTGCAAAGTTGAAATTTGTTGAAAGTATATTAGAACTTTAATCAGAATTAAAAATAAAATATGATTTATTATCAATATACAAAAAAAAATTGAAAAAAAAAATTGAATAAAAAAGTTGAAACATTTTTTTTTCCAAAATCAATTATTTTATTAAGACAAGCAGAAAGTTCTTTGAATCATTTAAATCGGACGCTTAGTTCTCTCAAACACTGCCATTTTTTGCACCTTTAGCTCCGTATCTTCGCAATGGCTGGGCCTGCTTTTGCCAAAAACTAATAAACACTTCTCCCAATCATAACTAATTGAATGCTTTTAAATCGGATGCTCCGTTCTCTCATAAACTCGATGTTTAATTTCGGCACTCTTTGCTCTTTATCTCCGTATCAATAGGAATCGAATGTTTTTTGAACCATTCAAATCGGTTCTTAAAGCTTAAAGCGAGTACAATATATTACGTTTATTTTAATGAGCCTACTACTGTTTCTGAATTCAGGATTTTTTTTACATGTATCGCCCTGATGTATAATTTTAGTACTAATTTCAATTTAATTACTCATTATTTGTAATTTATGCATAAAACAAAATCTAAACGTTTAAAGCTTATTAATATTTAAAGTATATAGAAATTTATTACTTATATCAAATTTGAACCAAATAGGCAATCCAACAATAATTATTTATGAATATACTATAAACAATTAACGTAAGATTCAGTCTTTTATTTTGGTCTGCATCGTATGCATTTTTAGAAATTATTTATATTATTTGAATATAATAAAAATACTATATTTTGAATATAGTATTTAATTATATTGCATTTGATACTAGGAAAACAAATTGTCCTAACATCATTTTTTATAGTTCTAGTATGTTATTAAGTTATTTAAGTTAACTTATTAAGTTATAGTAATCGCAAAAAAATCGAAAATGAAAATTTTTATATATTTTACGTTTCAAAACCTTCTGAACATTTTGGCATACCTTAGAAAAAATGAATGTATATGTGTGTATGTGTGTGTGTGCGTGTATGTTTGTGTGCGGATACAAATTTTCGTCGATAATTTCGGGAACACCGATCAACCGATTTGGATAATTCAAAAAGCATTCGATTCGTATTGATAAGGAGACCTGCTGATTAGTTTTTGGCGAAGGCAGGTCTAGCCGTTCCGAAGATACGGGGCAAAAAGTGCCAAAAATGGTAACTCAGTTTTTAGGAGAACGGAGCGTCCAATTTTAATAATTCAAAAAACATTTTACTTTTAATGACAAGATGAAAAATTGATCAAATTTTCATGAGGGCAGGTCTAGCGGTTTCGGAGATCTAATGTAAAAAGTGAAAAAAATGCACATCAAATTATCAGATATTTTATAGGGATTTTAACAATAAGTATAATTTTTGTTTACATTGCTATGGGTTCCGTACCAATGTTTATCCGTTAGACGGCGACGCGGTGCTTACGCGCTTTGACATTTCTAAGCAGTACGATTGCTTTGAAAAAAAGTTCAGAATTTCTAAATAATGTCAAAATAAAGAAAAAAAAGTAATTTTTTGTCAAATTTATAGTTTCTCAAAAAACTAATTTTTTTAAGTAATTTTTTTTAAAAAATGTTAATCGTTCTTAAAAAAATATAATTTTTGGTACGGGAGGTTCCAGCAATTTGCCTTAAGGCACAATGCCATGCGCCCCACTAGTTTTTTTATATATAAGTTGACAAAAGTCCCAGGATTGTATATAACATTTGATGAACTCAATTTAAAAAGATTTTTGATTTAAGATCCTCAGCAGAAAACAACTTTTCGATAATTTCGATACTAGAATTAAATGCATATAATTGCTCCAGTTTACGTTCAGAAATTAAAGAAAATCAAATAAAATTCATTCATTCATTCATTCAAACTATTAGGATACGAGTTTATCTAATTATTTATTATATGTATAAGATTAATTTGATTTTTAAGGGATATACAAATTGAAATATAAGACATAATATATTTATATACATTGTTCTATATAGAACAATATCAATAATTGGATAATATAATGGCAAAATTAAATGTTTTTTTATTTCCGCATTGCTTGAAATGAGTAATTAATATATAATTGCAATATTTAATTTTTGCAAAATATAAAACATTAATAAAATTACTTACACAATAAATAACGGTCAATAACTTCTAAATTGTAAATATTGTAAAATATCAGTTTTTTTGCTGATTTTGTAGAAAACAGTATCATCGCCCTGGTCTTTGTGCGTTAGTCCAATGAACGCACACACGCGTCAGGTTCATGTTATTATGTAATATTCGACACATAAATTAATAAAGTATTTCTTCGAACCCGCCTTAATATAATTTATTTACTCGGCGTTTCTTCCACTGATTTGTAAACATCAAACAATCAGAAAAAAAATAGTGTAAATAATAATGGTTGTCCAGTCATTAAAATATGGGCAATCTATTATATTTAAATAATAGATTTTTCTTTCTATTTTGTTGTTTTTTATTTTAACAGCAATCTTCGTGTTATATAATCTATTTTTAGTTTTAAATTACCACAGTACTTGAGAAGGCAACCCAGCGGTCAAACACTCATTTTTATATGTAGACTATTAGATATGAGATTATATTTCAAATCCACTACCTCGAGAAATTTCTATTATATTGCTCGATATCAAAGCTAGCCGGGGCTGGCTGGTTTGTGCTGGTCTTCAAACTAGTTGGTGCTAGTCCACGATTTTAGCAATTATATCACGACGGGCTATTGTATAGTATATTAATGGGTAGTACTGCCCTAAGGCAGGTCTGTGAGCTGAGTTAAACTTCAACTCGGTTCAGGGAAGAAGTAGTGTGAGAGTTTTTTCCATTTCCATTTCACACTGCAGTGCCCGAGATGGGCTTATTTTCAATTGGAAACATATTTTTCATCTATATTTTCAATTGAAAATGAACATCGCGCTGCCAGATGTCAGATTGCCAGAGCGGGGGCTCGAACGCTCGACCCCATCCATATGTGTCCGCGCATTAACGATCTTCGCTACGATAAATCTATGTATTGCAAATTAGTGGAAAGTATTATTCAAATTCTCTGCAGCAATTTGATTTTGCAGTTACAATGCAAATATTGCTCATTCCAGAGAAACTTTTTTCAAAAAGTCAAGTTTTGAAAATAAACAATTGGTATATAAGAATATTAAAAAGTATTACAATTGAGTCAAACTATTCCTCTTCATTATACAGAAGATTGTTGTGACTGTAGTCAAAATCTGCCAAAAGTTTTCCAATAATCAGCTATAAACTTTTGTTAGAACCGCTTTACTAAACTACGTTATTGCTACAAATTACAATTTTTTAGTTTATTAATATAATCATTATTAGGCCAATCGATAAAAATTTAGAAATCTAAATACTGAAACAATATAGAGAGATATGGTCAATTTTAATATTGACCAATTATATTGATTAGAGAAGCCAATCAGTTCATCATTTTTTAACATTTTGTAGTTATTTATATCAACTAATATAAATATATTAAATCGAAATATTAAGTATTAATAACAAGTTTGTTATATGAGGAAATTTGAAAGTATTTTAATTTATTATTATTGTTAACACATTAATGTCAATGTATTTAAAAATCAATTTGCGTAGAATACATATTTTGTTTGCACTTTAGTAATGTATTTTATGGCTAAATATGTCATCAACAAATTAAGTTATCTAGAAATGTGTTTTTCGAACATCAGAAAGCGATGTTAATTATTTTTCTTCGAATTGTTTTTGGTGAAGAACTGTTTAAAATCCCCGTGTTAATCACTTAATTACTCTCTTCAAACAGAGGTGAACAACTATTTATATTATTGAAAGAAATAATACTAATAATAAACATGTTGTCCATAAACGGCATCCGCACATACAGCACGCCAAGCGGATGTAGTCCATGGACGACATTCGTAACAAAAGGATTAACTTTTACTGTATTTTTTCAATTTATTTTCCAATTTATCGATACTAGTACCAAAATCGAGAAGCAAATCTATTTTTTTTAAGTTTTATGATAATATTTTGATAATGTATGATAATATTTTTTGTATTTGCTGCAATATTGCAAAAAAAAATTTGCAGCTTGATTGGAAATACTAATTCTAATATTTTAAAATCTACTGAATAATATTAATATTATTTAGTCCAATACGTTTACGAATACGTGACCATATAATTTTACCCTTTTCCACTCGAATGCCGCCGCTCCGGCGGCAAAATTCATACTAATTCCGGAATTAACGAGCGGAAAGGGTTAAAGTTATGTTATATGATCTATCATTGCCTTTCAAATTTACAATATTTTCTTCTGAAATGTATTAGCAATTATGTTTTTACAATTCCAGTTTATTATTTACGTGCTATTTTATGTGATAATATTAATTTATGATTCGATCCCAATCTATTACATCTACTAAATATAAACAAATCTTTTCAAATTTTAAATATTACTAAATGTCCTTAACTATTAATATTTAAGTATGTTACAATAATTCCAAAAAATGAATTTAAGTAGATATTGTGTTTAATGACCTAAAAAATTAAAACTAATTAAATTTAACAATTATTCATAAACTAATGCCAATTCCGTTTCGCACTAATTAGTATTCATAGAAAACTACGAAATATTTGTTTCATGAATCGTATGTTATTAGAAGAGTATATCGTTATATCGCTCAATCTAGAAAAATAAATCACATCATTTTCTTCTGTTTTCGCAAGATTTTGGAAAAAAACAAGGAAATTTTGTATCGTATAAATGTTATAAATTGTATGACATTATCGAACACATACATTTATACAGTAAGATAAACAAAATAAAGGTCAAACGAATTGGGTCAGAACTCAAGATTGAATTCTTCATAATTCTTAATGATGCACACAATATAAACAACAATATTATTATTTTCAACATTTAAGAGAAAAATATATCGCGTTTTATATATATTTGTCAAAACTCAATTGCATTTTTAAGCCTCTTCTTCGTAAACTAATTATAACTATTAGTTCCAATTATTTAAAATTCTTTCAGCTGTTATGCTGACTATTTAAACGATGTGGCAGTTTTGTAAAAATGCAATTCAAATATGTACTATCCCTATTTGATGAAATTATTGTTAGAATTTTTGTAATACTGATAAAACTTCGTATTGCTTGACTTCAGACCTTCCAGGAAAGGCCTAATAATTATTTAGAAAATTTAGTAGACACAGAATTAACATTGACTTCGAACTTACTGTAATGTGAAATGCTTAATTAAAAAAAATATTACTGTTAATTATATGAACTGCAAATTGTATTTAAGTCTTATCAAAACATATGGCAAGTGAGCATACAAATTAACTTATTTTGTTGGCTACCAATTACAACAATTAAATATCATATCACGATTGACATATTTAACATAATTTTGATTGGCATATTTTAATTTCTTATCAGGCAATGGTAAAAAATTATAAGATAAACAGTAATTAAAGAACGACTCCTGGCTATGTCTTACCTGTATAGATGTGACGATATTTAATTTAATCTTTATTTAATTACTTTTCTTTTGTTTGCAATAAACAAAAAAGTATCTTATAATAATATACACAATTTCTGCAAAACTGAGGAAACTTCCACCGAGTAACAGACCAGCAGCACCACCCAAAGAGACTGAAAGAAGAAATCATTTTATTACACATATAATATGTCATATTATGTTAAAATTAGTTTCTTTATGTGCTATTTCCTATCACCAGTATTATAAGATTTGTATGATATGGTAATTTTATAAGAGACATTATTCATAACATAATATTTATGATAATATGTTTATAACTACCGGTCATCATTAAAAAGCGTAAAACTAATCAATTATTCAAACTTTTACTGTTTATACTTATAGTTTCTACTTTATCAAAATACTGTCTGGTTATAATATCATTAAACAAATTAATATCATTAAAAATCAACGCACCATGCATTTTGTCCTTCTTGTCCTTAACTACTATTTAAATTTAATATAAAACTATCATGTTGAATTGAATTTTAGATGATTTGAATTTCCGATTATTATAATTGGACAAAATACAAAAACATGGATCTAACGAGGAACTGTTCAAAATGGTCTTCATAAAGAGATATAAGCTGATCCTTAATAAATAAGGAAAGAAAATAATACCATAATATAGTTATTAGCTGAAGTTTTAACTAATTGAAAGTTGCATTTTGCCTTAGGACAAGTTGCATGAAATTCCCGAAATGTGTTCTAATAGACTTAATCAACCGAAATTGATATTTCGATATTTAAATAAAAATTTTCAACTGTTTATTTCGAAAATAAAGTTATCGCTTTCAATTAAATCTAAACATTGCGATTTCCAAATAAATTTTCTCAAACACATTTGAACTATCTGTAATTATATTAAGTATAGTGCACAGACACGTGCCTGTATGTCCTAAAAGTGCAGTTCATTATTCCAAGTTTTAATGAATTGACAATGTTTGACTTATTACATCACAAAAGCAACTTTTAAAAAACGCGCAAAACCGACAAGCGCAAGTCCTTCGAGAATTACATCCTGTTACATCGAACAGCTTTTAAATTTTTTAAATCGGCCCAGCCGTTTTTGATGAAACTTTGTGAAAACGTATTTTTTATGTTAACATAAACTTTTCCATCAGTAAATTAAAAAATATTCATCATGAAGCGCAAGAAATAACACTTATTAAGAGAAGTCTAAGAAAAACTAGATGTGAGATGTGATTTTGCTTTAAGACAGCAGCTTTATATGGAACAGTCGGCTGTTCATCTTCACAACCCTAAGAGCGTGGCTCATTATTCTACAGTATAAAGTATTTTTATAATTGATTATGAACAACTGTTTCATAATATTATTATTAAAACATTAAATTTAAAAAAAAAATTAAGAATCGAATTGGAAGAACAAGGAGACAAAAATCTACTCCCAGTGGAAAGAACCACTCAAAATGAACAGTATATTTTCATAATTTGATTTAGAATATTTTTATAATTGTGCTTGATAATAATAAAGAATCGATATTTTTATACCTAGTAAGTATGTTAAGTGCAGTTAGATATTCTAAGCCAATTTTATGTAAAAAGTTTGAAGCACACACAATTGATCTTTAGGGAAAATATATACCAAAGCATTGATGTTTTACACTCTAAAAACTAAATTCATCAATTTTAAAAAATAATTATAATGTAATTTAACTGACCTACTAAATCCTCAAAGCTGAACAAGACATCCCTCCTAAGTCTTAATTTTGGTGGTAATAATTCCCATCGGAATGAAACTCGTTGAACAAATGGAATCTCTGTATCCACAGTCCAACTGGTCATTTTTTGTGATTGAATATTATATGTCAGTTCAGTACATGGTCGAAAACAGGCGCAATGATTTTCGGCAGTACTATTGGAACCACTCTTTTTTTCTTCTTTTGGCCAACTGGTGCGGGAAAGGCAACCCATTCCGGCAACATCGCATATTGGTCCTTCATCTAATCAAATAAATAATATCGCTTTATAGTAAGATACGCAAGAATGCATTCAATCATATATTTTTTTTAATATAATTTTATTTGATCATCTATCTACAAGAGATATAAAATCAATTGCATGGCTTAGAATTGAACAAAGAAAAAAAATGAGATCTGCGTCCAGTGATGCAGTTTTTTACAGTATTATATATGGATTGTCAAAAAGAAAAAAAAAAGAAAAATAGAAATTAGTACTTATTACTAAACCTAAAACAAGTCGTTGGGGTAGCTCTTTTTCAGTCTTTTGAATTGGATTGGTTCTATCAGCTTTCTTGCAAGGTTATTTGGGTGAAAGGTGAGCCTGTTACGATACTTTAGACAAAGTCTAGGAATCTCGTCTCTAATGAAAGAGACACCCAGTTCATCATGGAGTAACCAGTTGGGGGTGTATTTAGGTGTATTGGCAATTTGCCTAAGCATTTTATTTTGGAACCTCTGTAAGATCTCTACATTTGAGTGGCTGGCTGTGCCCTAAAGCTGAATACCATAGGTCCAAATGGGTTTAAGTATTGATTTGTATATCAAAACTTTTCAATTATAATTTGAAAAAAAAAAGTTTTTTTTGAAACAGGCGATATTAAACAATGTGTTAAAGTAGGGGTTTGAATATAGTTTTCTCACAATGCGCAAATTTTTGGATGTTTTGGTCCTACTAGTTATTAAAAAATATAATAATTGATATTAGCATTCATTAAAAATAATATACTAGAATTGAAACATATTGCATCTTGAATGATGCAATTTTATAGATTCAAAATTGATTTAACATATTAGATTATCATTTTGCAATAGGCTATCAAATATTATATAATACTTCATTTGTCTATAAACTTTCAGTTAAATTGTGCCAATAATATTTTATATCCTACAGAATTGTGATGGCACATAAAGAGTACATATATGAATAATTTTATCTATAACTTTAAACATATAATTTGGAAACAAATTTCGTGTCGGATAAATCAAAAGAAAAGTAGCGTTCTAAAAAACTGATTTTAAGTTAATTAGTTTTCGAAGATATTATATTTATGAATAAAAATTAACGGGTTTACAAGAGTGTGACAAAATAAATCACATAGCCATTATGTTCTTAAATGACGTCGGTAAATACTTACACATTTTATGACTAATATAATATATGTTCAAGGCTAATCTAATTTGAATCTTTGTAAGTGATACATTTGTTGTGGCCGCGATAGTGGTTATTACATTTGCAAATCGCGTGTTTTGTTGAAAAATACATTGATTCTAATGAGCGATGCATGTATACGATTATATCAAATTTGATCATTACATATGTTTGAAAATAGATTTCTGCAGGAAAATACTTACTTAATCTAGTTCATGCAATACTGATGTATATATTAAAAAACAAGAATCATCATCATGTCAGTCATCCTGCTGATCTTGAGCATAATTGGTTGATTGTTCTTAAAATACATTGCAGAATTTGTTTTATTATTTATTTCGTAAAAATATACTAAGAGATAAAAAATAAAACTCTCTGATTAGATTTTAATTACAATGGATGTTCAACAATATTTTCTGACCGTTCGAAGAATCGAATTACAATTGATTGATACAAAGATATTGCACTGATGCATTATTATACATTTGAATAATCTGCAAAAATTGCATTAATTGTGCTTAGAAAGTAAGAGGTGGTAAATAATGAGTTTTGATATCGAAAATTTGATTTTTCTCAAGATTTTTATCGACGATTTGATTTTACTCAAAGAAGGTTGAAAAAAACAAGATTTACTGAAAAACTTGCTTTGTATTTGTGTCCCATGGGCATCTTTTGTATCCATCTAACTCCTAATAGTTTTGAATATAATTTTTGTGAACCGCCGTTCAATAAATAAAGATGATTAAAATAATAAAATGTTAATGTACTTACGCGTAAAACTGCAAAGTAAATATAAGTACTATATGTATAGGAATTAATACCTACAGTTGCTGGGTATATACACCCCCATATAAACCGTGCATATCACGTATATGCAAAGATGTATAACCAGCTATCACCTTGATTCTTATGACGTTTCTATCGGGAGATAACCACAATTTTCTTTCTTTATTAGTTGTTTTAGTTGTGAGCGTTGTTGTTTAGTTTAAAGAGACCTTAATATAATTTTATAAGTATACCTTATTTAATTGTTTTATAAGATGTATTGTTAATTTTAAGTTAGATTCAAAGTTTGTTTTAATAACCTCTAAAAAAACTTATACGCGGGTGGAGTAAAAAAAAAACAACTAAACCTTTACCCTGATAAAGGTGTAAACAATAAATAATACTAAATAAAAAAGTAAATTAAGTTAAAAAATCAATTTTACAAGAGATTTTAATTCTGTTAGTTAATATTTCTGAAGGAATACCAGATCAAGGTTATAAATAGTGTTTTCTTTGCAAAAAAATGATCCTATAAAATTTATATTTTGCATTGGTTTATCCAACTAATGTATGTGGCTATTGTTCAGTAAAATCCCTCAAAATTAAGAATAAGATATTGAGACTGTTTGCCTCCTGGACGTCCCAGTTTACCCTGCCTATGGGTTAAAAAAAAACAGGTGATAATTTTTCTAATTTATCTCTACATTGATGAATTAGCTGCAAGGTTTACTGAACATAGTCAGATAGTTGTTTGTTTGATATGTTTTATTTGTTTGTAATATAATTGGTTTGGTTTTCACAATATAACTAATTACGCATTTGTGTCCCACCCTACCCTACATATACAATAAAATATACTGTAAAATGTATGTTTGTAGTTAAATAAAGTTGCTTAATATATTGCATTATATTGATACCGTTTTCGTGGAACTCATATCACAATTCCAAATATACAATTCCTAATACAATTACGCATTATAACAAATAAATTTAATACTGGAAAGTTAATTCAGTTTGCATAGACATATAACTGTACTAGATTAGAATGACCTCTGATAAACACATTCATGACAAATAAAATTTAAATTAAATTTCGGCTCATTATATTGGGAAACGCGATCAATTGCGTTTAGAACTCCAAATAGAATCGACAGAATTTTCTGTAGCCTAAATTGCTGATTCATATTTGCAAGCATGATTTATATATATTACAACTTAAAGAAAGCAAATTAACGTCACTCACCTATAAAATGATAAAAGAATGGTCGACATCCGCATAAACGCAAAGCTAAGCGAAGTCTGCATTGCATTTGGCATATACTTGCACTGTAGACCTAAATAATATTTATAATGTGATAATAAATGCTTCATAGACACATTTTTAGTTACTGTATTGTTAGTTCATTTATTTAAAGAGACTAGTGGGGTGTATGGCATCGTGCCTTAAGGCAAATTGCTGGAACTTTCCATACCGTAACAAAATGTTCGAGGAATACTGAATGTTTTCAAATAGATTATTATTAATATTGTAACATTGTCTAATATTTATAAGAATTATATAAACTGAATTGCAAAATTAAAATTATTTGTTTAAAGTATATTAGAACTTTAGTCAGAATCAAAAATAAAATCTGAATTATTTTCGGTATACAAAAAAATTTTTTTTTGAAAAAAAAATTGAAAAAAAAGTTGAAGCAAAAAAATATTTTTTATTTAGTTAAGACAAGCAGAAAGTTCTTTGAATCATCTAAATCGGACGCTTAGTTCTCTCAAAAACTGCCATTTTTGCACACATTTAGCTCCGTATCTTCGAAATGGACGGGTCTGCCTTTGCCAAAAACTAATAAACACTTCTCCCAATCATTACTAATTGAATGTTTTTAGATCATTTAAATCGGATGCTCCGTTCTCTCAAAAACTCGATTTCTATTTTCTGCACTCTTTGCTCTTTATCTCCGTAACTGCTGAACCTGCCTTTGCCAAAAACTAATCAGCTCATCTCCCTATCAATAGGAATCGAATGTTTTTTGAACCATTCAAATTGGTTGATCCGTGCGCCCGAAAACGTGACTGAAATTTGTATTGTACACACACACACATCCATTTTTTCTGAGGTATGCCAAAATGTTCAGAAACCTTCAAAACGTCGACAAATGTAAAAATTTTCAATTTCGATTTTCGGCCCATTACAATAACTTACCCTACGGGAAGTTAATAATATTATTTGGGAATGAAATATATTATGCAAATATTACCAATTGGGGCTCTGTTTCATGTGCAACATTATTTTTTCAATTTTTTGAGGTAGCGTTACTTCTAAGCAAATTTAAATCAGAGTCATCAAAACTTCATTATTATAATTTTTCTAATATAAATAGCCAGGGGAGGCCTACTTTCATACTCGTAAACAAATTTTCGATACATCTTTTTAAAGCTGTACGAAATGAGTATTGAACGTGGAACACAGGGTTGAAAAGCCAAAGTTCTTACTACAGATGGATTGATTGATGGACTGAGTCCATTTATAAGATTTAATTATATTTTGTTACTTGAAATTTTTTATAAAATTTATTACCGTTACATGTTTATTTGCTGGTTCATCAGGAAAGTAGCATCTCCTTTGTTGTGGTGTTACTTTGCGAATATCTTGGGCAGCTCCAGTTTCTAAAACTTTCAGCACCATTGTGAAGTCGTTATCAATTTGCAAACTTTTGGTTCCGACACTCGTACCAGACAGCATCTCATAGGGCGAGTGAACATGCAACTGTAAAAAAACATTTTATAATAATATCAGAACAATATTAATATTCCTGAAATAATTATAAACTAGTGGGGTGTATGGCATCGTGCCTTACGGTAAATTGCCGGAACTTCCCGTACCGTAACGAAATGTTCGAGAAATATTAAATATTTTCAAATAGAATAATATAAATTGTTTAATATTTATAAGAATTATATAAACTGAATTGCAAAGTTGAAATTATTTGTTTAAAGTATATTATAACTTCAGTCAGAATTAAAAATAAAATCTGAATTATTTTCGATACACAAAAAAAAATTTTTTTGTTGAAAAAAAATAAAATTGAAAAAAAAAATTTGAAACATAATTTTTTTTCAAATTCAATTGTTTTGTTAAAAAAGCAAAAAGTTCTTTGAATCATTTAAATCGGACGCTTAGTTCTCTCAAAAACTGCCGTTTTTTGCACATTTAGCTTTGTATCTTCGAAATGGCTGGGCCTGCCTTTGTTGAAAACTAATCATCTATTCTCCCAATCATTACAAATTGAATGGTTTTTAGATCATTGAAGGATTTTTAAACCATTCAAATCGGTTGATCCGTGCGCACGAAAATGTGACTGGAAAATTGTATACATACCTACATACACACACACACACATCCATTTTTTCTGAGGTATGCCAAAATGTTCAGAAACCTTCAAAACGTCGAGAAATGCAAAAATTTTCAATTTCGATTTTTGGACGATTACAATAACTTACCCTACGGGAAGTTAATAATATTTAGTACCTAAGAGGTGTAAGATTTCGACGCAAAATAAGGTTTAAAACGATTGAAATCCATCTGCTATTCGATTCCAAACATTCCATCTTCTACCAATTTTATATAATTTAAATGCTCCAATAATTTGAACCAATATAGATTTTTAGATATGACATAAATAATTATTTTCGGACTTTCATAAAAAATGAAGTTGTGATCTTAAATAATTTACAATGCTTGGAATAACCTAGTATTATTAGAAGATTGCCACTGGGTCTATTCTCTTTGAGATAAACTTATTATTAGTCATATTTATTAGTTATGTAAAATTTATATTGCAGCAATGCTCATAAGGCTATTTGCGCTTGTAATCATTTTTAGATCAATATTTTCTAGTAGAACTAAATTTCTAATGAAACTTGTAACCTTGTGGTTGTAAGATCAAATCTCTTAAAACCTGAGACACCAGCAAATCCGTAAGAACCATTTAAAATAGATAGGACTAATAAGTACTTGAGAGTTCATAGCTACTGGAGATAGCTAATGGAGATAAGTATGATTTCAAATGCAATGATATGCAATTGGCTCTATAATAGTTGAAGCTTTCCAGAAAAATAGAATAATTAATAGGCCAATAATAGAATAATAGAATAATTATTAGAATAATAGAAAAATAATAGGCCTGATTCTTTCATGATCTTATTACACTAACCATATTGACTTATTCTAAGAAATTACTGAATAGACTAATTATTATAATTGAGATAATCTACATGATCGTCAAGGTCAACTTTTCAGTGATATGAATTAGTTGCACTGAATTGAAGTTTTAGTTATTCAACCGCTAAATAAATAATTTACAAAAAAACTTTCAAGTTGCACTATAACTTTCTAGATGCACTTTCTAGTAAACAAACTTTGAAAGCTACACACATAGAAAGAAGTAAGTTTTACATACGAAGTTTTATTATACGAAGAAGTTAATATTTCCAAGTAAGATTAAAATAAAAAGGTGATACTAATTTTTGAATATTGTACTAGCAATATTGTTACGAATAAACAGATTTTTTTTAACAGAAAAGATAGGATAGTAATTACAAAAGTGCATCTGGGGATAAAACATAAAAAAACATTCGAGTATACGGCATTACAGATTTTAATAAAAAAATAATATTTAAATATTTATATCAACTTTCGATTAAAGCAGCATATTATTCTAGTGCAAAGATGTTTAATTTTATGTGTATTATTACCTTTATGTCGCCTAATTCAATGTCAATTCTGATATAGCATAGTTGATTCCCGAAACTGCAGCTAGTTGGCTTTTTATTGATGTCAAACGTGTTCTGAAACTTCCTGCAAAAATTCCATTATAAATCAAAACAACATGGAAAATTATTGACATTTTTTTTAAATAATCTGGGGCATACTTTCCGCTTTGTATAATGCTGAATACAGAGTTGAAAGTGAAACACACACCTAGTTCTGTTACGACTTCATTCCAGGTAACGTTCAATTCAGGATCAAAAACTGTAATGTGCGGAACTATTTTTGGATGAACCTAAGAAATTATATAATTCTGTTACATAATTGAAATATGTGTGAAAAAATCATTTTTTTAAATCAATCTCACCTCTTTTACTATGTCAAGCATACTAATGGCATTTAGTTTAGTGTCAGTACTATATTTCTGAAACTGTTTCAAATTTTCAAAAGTAGAGTTTGTTACCGTTTTCACATAATTAATGAAGTATTTAGCTTCATCACCACTTTTGTCCCAAACTCTACAAATAATATTAGAAAAGATTTAATTTTGCAGTACACATTCTGAAATTAATATATAATTTTTTTTATTTTTAGCTTTTCATAGGGTAAGTTATAGTAATCGTGCAAAAATCTAAAATGATAATTTTGCATATGTTTACGTTTCAGGAGTTTCTGAACATTTTCGCTATGAATCTTAGAAAAAATGTATGTGTGTATGTGTGTATTGTGTGGATACAAATTTTGGCTCACGATTTTGAGCGCACAGATCAATCGATTAGAATTATTAAAAAAAACATTCAATTCGTAATGTTGGGGAAACGTGCTGATTAGTTTTTGGCAAAGGCAGCTTCAGCATTTCGAGAATATGGAGCAAATAGTGCAGAAAATAGAAATTAAGTTTTTGAGAGAAAATTTCATATAGTATGAGTTATTCAAAAAACATCCAATTCGTAATGATGAGAAGAAGCTCTGATTAGTTTTTGGCAAAGGCAGGTTCAAAGTGAAAAGTGCAAAAATGGTAATTCAATTTTCGAGAGAATGGAATTTGAATAAAGCGGCGCTTACGCGCTTCTACATTTCATCTCTAATGCAGACACGCAGCGCGATCGCTTTGAAAAAAATTCAAAATTTTTAAAAAATGTCAAAAAAGACGTTTTTTTCAAGTTTTTTTTTAAAAATTAAATTTTCAAGTGTGTTCAAAATTTTCACTTTTTTTAGAAAAGTACAAATCTTCAAAATATTTAATGCTTTTAAAAATGTTAAATTGTGGTACAAATAACTCGAGCAATTTGCCTTGAGGCACGATGTCATGCAACACTAGTTACGAAGTTTTTTTCATAATATATGCTAAAAAATGCTAAATGCTCAATTTGTTAACACAAATATGTATATACTATATTGAAATAAATATCATTTACCTCTGCACTAAATTTTCAGCCAGTTTTTCATCCATTTTGTTGTGATAGCAGCCGCTAATTGCTGCTAAAGTGGCATGCCAGTCTCGATAATTTTTCTCAAGTGCAACTACAGTTGGAGAATCAGAATAACGATCCCATTGGTTCATTGATAACCAAAATGCACACCATGCTGAAATAAATACTGCAAATATCCACAGAATTCTGAAAAAATATAATCGTAAATGTTAGTAAAACCAAATCATTAGCATTCATAACTTTTAGTAAAACCATATAAATAACAAATTTTAATGGAAATTGAAACTAATATCATCTTATGGTTTGTTCATTTCAGGTTTAATCAACAGTTCAGGTGCCTATAAATAGAAGAATTTGATATATTTAGCCGATCTGAATTATTGTTACGCCCAATCAGCTTCAACACTGCCAATATAATCTTATTTTTTGTCTCAAATATTGTAAACTCATTTCTATGCACTCAGATTAGTTCATTTTACATTCCTTCTTACGATTTAAATTATTTAAGATATTGAAAAACATATAGATTTCTATGAGACAAATGTAATACGTATATGTAAGAAATTGATGATCGACCATTGATCATAATTACCAACTTGATATTATTACTTGTGATGAACTTGTGATTCCAAGGGTTATATATATTCATGAATTTTACTGATTTTAAAGATATATTGATTAACTTTACTTGAATAAAATATTTTTGATCACTGTGATCAATATAAAAAGTGGGCAAGGTGGTACCACTTTTTTATCAGCAATAATTTTGTTAATTTAGCAGTTAGTTCGAGGAATAGAAAATTAAATCATATTTTAAACATTTATCTACGACGAAATACTGGTCCTGGATGGATTAGTCATAGGATAAAATCATACAAAAAAAACGAATGTCACAACCGCAATCGAACAATAAACTCATTAAAAATAATGCGGTCTACAGATCATGTAAATGTAGGGCGCTATCTTAATGCAATATTGGAAACTTGTTCGAACAAACATACTTCATCTTTCACGCTTTGAACCCTATCTCAAAATTAGCACAGGTAGAGATATTAGTAGACATAAATATTATTAAATTATATACTTACATTTCAGAATAATGTCGATTAAATTTAACCCAATGTCTCAATCCATGTATAGATGCCTCATTACAAAAGTACAAAAAGAAATCTTTGACCTCGGTTAAAATTCTCCACATCTTCTTGATTATTATTCCAAATAATAAACTAGGAACATTGCTGCTAAATTTTAACTCAAAATAACAACATTCCAGTTTAAATTATCCCAACCACCAATAATATACGTAAATGGATTTATTTTTCAGATCCATTTAGCTTTTATGATATAAGATCAAATCGGTTAATGGATATATTGTATTGAGTACAATACGCTTTGCTGATAACCATAATGGATCTAATGATAAAATCTTAAATAATTCGGATTATGATGTCGAAATCTAAATGTTCACTTTTTTAATAGATATAAAAAAATCTATTTTTTCTATTAATTGATAATATTTTATTCTGAAAGTGTTAACATACAAATTCAATAAAATTACATTTTTAGAGAAAAACATTTCATCTTATTTATGTATATTTTTAACTATTATAGTTTTATAAACAAATAAAAATCTATTATAATAAATACCTTTTATCACAAAAACAGTTCGTAAAAACTATTTAAAAATTAATATATATGACTGTAGTTAAGTTTAATACACGTACATTACAATTTATGTTACTCAAAATAAAATTAACACAACATTTAACTTAATCTTATATAATATCACAAAAAATCTTCATTTTATAGTAAAATAATAGGACAAAGAGTTATATACTAACATTTATCGATTACATTGAACGACCGAAGACATCAAAAGATACAAACATTTTCAAATTGTAAATTATTTTCTGTAAAACACAAAACAATTTGTCGACAACCAAATCAATCAAAAAATACACATTAAACATCAAATATTTTCAAAAATAAAACCACGGTGATTGAGATCATATGTAAAACTGGGTTTAGTGTACAAATAAACATATATATAGATAAGTAGTCAAATATGAAATATTTTTTTACAGATAATAATAAAAAAATATAAACCCTTTCTATTCTATTTGTGTCTCATGTTTGTTTCAAATCAGAATAAATTAGAATAAAAGAATAAATTAAAAAAATATGAAAAAATAAGTTTTTTCCGAAACAAAATGTTAATGAAAGCACTGTACGCATATACGTATTATTACGCGTGGTCTATTTTCCAAAATTTTAGATAATTTTTATAATTAAAGCACTTTCCATATGCCTATAATATTTTAAGGTGTTTGGTTTGACTACCAACTTTATCATCATGCAAAGTTTCATCAAAATCTGAGAAGGTTAAACCTGAGGTTCTTCTTATTAGTAACGGATTATTTTGAAGTCTTTGACTTTATTATTGTAATTCCAGTAGAAACAAATCATGGCAGCAAACATTGAAAAGTAATAAAAATTGAATAAAAATTTGTATCAAATCGAATTGAATTTAGTATAATTACAATAACAAATATTTTTAAAATAATTGTGTATATAAAATATTAGAGTTCTAAACTTTGCAAAAATAATCCTGATGAAGCTCTTCTGGATAGAACAATAGATGTTAGATGTTGTTAATTATTGATAAAATATGCAAACCTCTATAGGTAAAATGTTATTAATCCGCTCATGAGATTTAAGCTTTTGTATTATTATGTAATATTGAAAAGATGCTGAATATTATCAAATTTTATCAGAAGTAAACTGAACTCTTTAACAAATCCCAATAATCAAGCAGGAAAGTTGTTGGATGATATTCATAACAAAAAATTTAAAAAAAAATAATGACATATTTTAGGTCCATTAATAAAAAAAGTCTATATCAGTCTATATAGCGTTTGTTCCGTTTTTTGTTTCATCAACACGGAAAAATGCTGAATTTGGGATTCATCGTAGTAGTTTAATCATTTTGTACTTCACAAACAATTGATTTAAGAAAGTGAAGTACATGTCTTAAATAGTTAAATAAACAAACAAATAAATAATAATAAACTAAATTAAAATCTTGTAATAATAAGTACTCCAAATTAGTAGTATAATAACAGATAAAAACTAGTAGTGATCCGGATTAAAAAAAATAGAAACAAATTTATAAAATGAATTTTACTTTTTAACAGATCAAGCATAACATCTTCTCATCCTTAAGTGTAAATTATTATAGTAGCAATTAAAAACTCAGTTTATTTTACTACTTTAATTACTAGAACCAACTTTTACTTTAATTACTAGAACTTTGGATACTTTTTTTCATAAAAAGGTGTACAGAAAATTGACACCTTAGAAGCCGGCCGATAATATTATAAAATGGATCGCAAAAACCGTGGTTAGATTTCTGAAAATGCCCTTTAAAAGTAAATATATTATTAACTACTTAATATGTATCGATAACATTGTTTATCATTTTATCATTAAATATCTGTCGAGATGTAAGCCAAATTTTCTAAAGACATTCTTCTCTTTAAATCATTCATTGACTGACTCGATATTTTTTGCAATTATTGCAATAAGCGCTTCTATCCTATCTGTATTGAATATCAATTACTCACTTCAGAAAGCATAACCCTTCAAATTTAAAAAATCAACCACAAAAGGGCTGCTTAATTTACAATACCTATTTTTTAAAATGGGCAAAATTATTTAATCCATATTGGATTCAAATGAATTTGGTTAAATAAATATTCCTGTCTTTACGAAGGTCTCGCAAGTGAGCAGGATTCTTCGTATACTTGATTCAGATGGTTAAATGTTTTTGTAAACTGTTGAAATAAGTTGATTTAGTTTTCTATAATAAATTGAAGAATAATTAATTATTTTATTTACCAACCATTTGTTTAGTTTTGTATGTATTCTCCTCCTTGGAAAGAAGGCTACAATTTGAGGCTTCATCAACTATAAATTCTGTTGTATCACCTTTCAGATCTAATTCCATATACAATCTTAGTAATTGATCGTTCACCTCGTTTGGCTAAAATTGGTAAGAAATACATCAAATACTAAGATTCATTTGCTACTATACACAAACATATACATATTTTATTATATTTATATCTGTACTCCAATGAAGTTAAAGTTGCATTGTCAAAGTTGGTTGAAAATGTTACCTACCGAAATTTTATCATTCTCGGTCATAAACTGGAATTTTTTCTAATTGTGGTATTAATAATTGTACTTGAAATATTTTTGAAGTAAAACTTCTTTAGGCGCGACTAGGGTGTAAATCCGTACAAATGCAACGGAAGTGCGTTACGGCAGATAAGATAAGATAAGAGTCGAGTGCCAATGATTTGTCATACGCTCGCAATGATATCATTTCTATGCGGGTCGATTGTGATTAGTAGTCGCGTATGTGAATAGAAATCTGTCGTTGTATGCATACCGGCATCAACGTTGTATGCGTACCGGCGTCAACGTTGTATGCGTACCGATATCAACAAGGAAATCGGCATAGATAAATAAACATTTTAAAGTTACATCGTAGTACAAATCTTGATTTAATGAAAAATGCCCGAGTCAGAAGATTATTTTACCCTGGCCCCCGTAAATAATTATAATGAAAATAATAAAACTAATGCAGCATTTGCGCCGTGTATGAAACATTAGTTTATTGAAATAATTTTTGTGTTATTCGTATTTTGTATAAATCTTTGAAGTTACTGAAATGGAAAATATTTTTTAGGAAAAACAGATATTATAGAAGTTCAAAGAATGAGATTATATCGCCAGCGAAAAAGTAAAAAAATATCATCAGTCCATAAATGTATGTTAATTTTAATTACATGAAGTTCTTTAAACACAATTATCACATGATGAGTAAAATTGCGAAAACAATATTTGTTCAGGCTTTGTTTAACATAATCGACTGTGTGAACAAATATTATAGAATTTATTAATCAGTTTTTACTTTATTTCTCTAATAAAGATTCATTTCTAAATGCTAATTACAATGACAAATCGATCATGTCATATTTGAAGTATGACTTTAATTACATTATTGTTTTTAAATATTATACATATTTTTAATGCTATTTATAAATATATAATTTATAATTTATCATTATATAAATTTGTATAATAGTTGACACTAATAAGTATGTGCATCACGAGGGTTACCATATTACTAGTAAGCATTATTCAAAATTGTTATATAATGTATTTATTTTTACTTAAATGCCATCTTGTACAGTAGCAAATAAGTTTTACTTCAATCGCGTGTGAAACTTAGGCGCACTCTTTTTTTTGAAATTTTGTTTTGCCGTGAATAACAATATTGAGTACGTTTAAATTTTTTTTTTCGTGATCCAAAATAACTATATATTTATGCAGTGTAAACAAATATATTAGGTTAATAAAGTATTTCTGACAACAGTTTCAAAAATTATATTTACATCCAAAAAACAATAGCTTGAATTTATGCAATACTATTGCCATATATTTGTTAACATTTTCACGCATTCTTAAGAATATAGTCTATGTACAAAAATATTATATCATCATATATTCTCTTCGAATTCCCACAGAATATCTAGAATTTATAAAATTATTTACCTGTGTGATGTTTTTCAGTGTATATTTATCTTGTTTCAGAATATTTTCTATTTTATCTCTTGATATTTGATATTTATTAATCATGTCAGAGTTAAGATCAATATTTTTCATTTCTGATGTTAGAGTTCTATTACAATTATATCCCAAATCGTTAAAATCCCTTTCATGTGTTTCGTGTCGAAGATCATCGGAACTCTATGATAGAAAATTATTATTATATAGACCAACACCAAAAAATATTTTATTAGTTAAATTATTTATATTAATTTACCTTTTCTCGTTTGGCATTGCCGTTACCATCATTATCTTCCATCGATGTATTATCAGTTTTGAATATGGATGAATAGTATGATGAATAGCTGCCATCTTCTCCTTCTTTCGTATATCTTTCCTATTGGTGAAGACAATTATTTTACGTTCATTTATTTAATAATACCAAATAAAATTTATTTAGTTTGAAATTTTACCTTGCTCGGAGATCTGCTGCTTATATCCACTTCATGGACTGAAATTATAGGAGAATCCGGTGAATAAGCTGATGGAAAAGCTCGTTTAGAACACTCTGATAGCGCCTGAAAATAAAGAAAAACTATTGTATAAACATAATTAAATAAATAAAACATTGAGAAAAAAAACATCAAGAGGAAATATGTGTTATATAATAGTAGAGTCACAAATCTCTAGAAAGACTCTGAATGTAAATGTTTATTCATTAAATTTGATTTTAGTGAAGCAAAAAATGGCAAATAGACGGTATTTTACTTCATTTTATGATACCGTATTTTTTCTATTAAAATAAAATTTGCGTTATTTTATATGTTTTTGTATCATGGTAAATTATTAAAAACGGCTCATCAAAAACAACTTTAAAGCTCGATTATTTTAAAATAAAAAATTGATAAAAACTGATGTATGTAACTCATAAGAAATCTATAAATATTTCTAGTACTGAACTGTTAGATTCACTACATTTAAATAAACGTATCTAATATCTAAAATATTTTATGTATCGTACAGCTCAACACAAATATTCTTTGTGTAGATATTAATAATTGAAGTAAAACAATAAAACTTAGAGAAGCCAATTCTCCGATAAAATAGATAGAAATACATAATAATAAATAGAAATGTTATTGTAATGCTATGTTGCGGGTCTATTTTCGTATGAGTTGGTAGTAACAAACTGTCAGAAAGCTATGTAATTGGTGTGAAATCAGGCGTTTCACACATAAAACCTAACTTCATGTATGTGGTGTCAATGACAGAAATATGCACGTTTTGTAGGTTAGGTTTTATGTGTGAAACGCCTCATCACACAGCAAATACCTTTTTGACAGTTTTTTTACTAATTCATACGATGATAGACCCGTAATATAGCGTTATCATAACTTTTTTTTTATCGAAGTAGTGTGTTATTCCAACCACTAAAATGTAGCATAATAAAGCTCAACAAGTTCAGTGATTCTTAAACAGATTTTTCAACTAGAGGGAAATATTGATAGAGAAAGTAAAGCAATATTTGTATATATTGTATCTAAATTTGTAATATTATATAATTTTATTAATTAAGTTAATTAGTAACCAGATTTTAGGTCGATGAGTAGACCTTATTTACCTCGCCATGCTAATATTAATCACAATCATCATTTTCAAATCATTCATTTGCTTATTTGCATCATTTCATATTGCTTAATCTATATAACATAACATATGTAGGATAAGGTTGCTTAAGTCGTACCTCTGCAAAATTCTTTACCCGTGCTGGTTGAATTAAAGCACTTTTGTGATACATATAAAATAATAAATGAATACCATATTACAAAGCTTTTACTTAAATTGGAACACCTAGTGGGTGTAATCTATAACTGTTACTTTATGAAGAATGCCACCTCCATTCTTAGCATCCAGATAATAATTTTTAATTAAATTTGATACTTTTTGTGGTTATTAGATTATTTTTGGAGTTATTTTAATTGACTATTATCTACAAAAAAAGTTGATCTTGCAGGTACGAGTAAGGCTTTAGGTGGTACATCCATGATAATAAATATACTTAATACTTTAGTATTTGTTAATAATTAGCCAATTAAATAAAGATCTAGATTCCTAGATAATACCGAAGGTTTTACAATTTTAATTTCACTAAATACTGCAGAGATTTTCCTTTATGGCTACGACTTCAGCAACTTTACCCAAATAACTTTATCACATATAACAAATATCTGATGATTCAATTGACATCGCTTCTGGACTCAAAAACAATCTGGTATATATTCCAGCAATGCATATGGAAGCGAGAATAAGGTAACTTCATAAAAAATTAACTCAGTTTTGCTGCGCATACACACTCACTCGATTGACGACAGATGCGGATGCAATACTGCCAACGTTGGAACCGGGTTCGGCTTTGACCGATGTCGCTTGGGAGGGTGGACGGACGACTTTAGGGCTACGCACTCCTTCGTTGCGCGCGCTAGCCCCTCCGCCGCCCTTGAAAGCGCCAGTCGGCTTGTCCGGCGGAATATTCTTAAAGGAAATTCAATCGAGGTATACCATTAGTTCGGATCAAGGGCTCATGAAGCATTCTGCTAAATGCCTTCTCATAGCTCTTACAATTTTTGTAAAACAAAAACTTATGATGTTTTTTTGTTTGTAACATATTTTGCTAATTGGAAAAATTAAAATGTTAATTATTTTGTAAATATTATGACAACAGGAAACTTGCTTCAGTATATCATTGCAATAATCTTCCACCTTATCGGTTATAAAAATTATCAAAAAATATTTCTTAAGAAATTATTGTTTTAGACAATAATTACCTAACTTCTTTTTATGTATAAATGATTGACCATCGTGGCAACGCTGTCATGGCAACGCTGTCATGGCAACACTGTCATGGCAACGCTGTCATGGCAACGCTGTCATGGCAACGCTGTCATGGCAACGCTGTCATGGCAACGCTATGTTATGCTTGCTTTTTGGTAGTAAAAGATGAAAATGTCCATCTATTTGCTGCGTGATCAGGCATATTATCATATAAACAAGCAAGAAAGAATGTTATGATAACAGAATTTTCGAAGATGCTGTTGAAAACTGCTGTTCAAAGATTGCCATGACAACGCAATGTTATGAGCTCTGTTACGGCGGAATTGCTCCATTAATTTGTGCTGATAGAATTTTGACGCAGCTCATTATTGCAAAATTTAATGAATTTCTATAATTGAACCAGTTTTCATAGCTCTCTAATATTTTAGGATATTAGTTCAGATCATGAACTATATCAAAGCGCAGAAAATCAACAAATCCTTGAAAAATTTCAACGATTAATAATGAAGAAATGGCCGATCTTTGAAAAAACTAATCAGCAATGATAAGAATACTACTCATGAGACATGAAATTGATATTTAACTACGACTTGTGTTTTGCTATACTACTATATAAATAAACACTTTTATTAAACCCATAACTTGAATTGATATGAATTAGGAATTCGAAATCAATCAAATGAACCAAACTGTCCGAAACTGACGAATGCTATGCCCAGTCTAATTCAGACAGTTGCAAATCGTCGACTTTGATCAATTTTCGACTAGTCGGGTTCAGATAAAACGAACCCATCATTCTCTGGTCAAGAATCAAAGACATATTGTAAAATGAAAAATACTCTGGATGCTTATAAAAAAAATGTAGCAAGGTCATATAAATAAACCATAGTTAAAGATTTATCTGTAGATATATACTTCATATATTGATAAAATAAATAATTACTAAGAAATGATTGCTATGGAGACGTGTATTTATTTCATACTATATTTTATAAGTGCAAGTTTCCCATTATCATGTTTAAAATAATATTATGAAATATTAGAATTCTGATTTTTTTGAATAAATATGTTCACAGTGAACAAATGAAACCAAAGATTACCACACATTACCTGCTCTGGTTAATAACTATATTAATAAGGCACATGAGAATAATGATCTGTAATAGAGTAGATATGCATAAAAATTAATTATAAAGCATATATAATGATTAGGAACTTCCCTTTTAAGCTTCTTTCGTGTAACAAAATCATATGAACAGTCGCAAAGTATTTTTACGCAGAATAAAAGAATTACACTCACGTTATAATGCTGTTGCATTTGCCCTGAAGTTCCTTGATTAGGAATTTGCATTGGATGGTAAACTGTAAATGGCGGATACAGCATTGGCTGTCCGAATATAGGATGCGGGGTATATACCATGCCTGGTAAATATTGAACTGAAAAAATGTCTTAAGTGATAAAATACCATTTCAACAACTTGATACGAAAATCATGCAAACAATTTTATTTAATCTACCAAATGGTGATATTGTAGGGCTGTGTTGCTGAATACTTGGCCTTGGCGCTTGCTGCGGTGTTGGAATGTAGCACACTTGCGGAAACATGTTTGGTGCGATTTGTGGACTATTTTCTATAAAGAAAAAATGAATAAATTATTACTCAACTATCGATATTAATGTATCTATTCTATTTGATGAGTAAACCCATACACTTGATTTCTTTAATATTATTTGAACAGCGATGGTTAGACTTAACCAATTACGCTGGTTTTATAGATAGAAAACAGTTGTCCTATCTTTTTTCAGTGTTTTTTATTATTACAAATTGCGTAATAGTAATTTTTAATGGATACGAAATAGTCAGAAAAAGATATTTCTTATTATTTCAATAAATAATTTTTCTTTAAAATTTCAATAAATTCAATGGTTTACCAATAACTGCTGGACCTGCAGTTCTAGGTCCTTGTCCGTTTTGCGGAGCCAGAGGTACATTGAAAGGCTGCCACTGACCATTATGATTTCTAGGAGCAAACATTCCTTCTGATATAAAGTTATTACTGTTGATGACTCCTCTATTATTTTGTTGTATGTTTGGAGGAACGATTGGTTGTATTATTGGGTGCTGCAAATCAGGAGCTAACACAGGCCTTGGTATATTTTGGAGTCCTGGGTGAAGTATTGATGAAGGCATTGTGCGTCTTAAATCATGTTGTAGATCTGGAACTCGGAAACCATTTGCAATATTAGGTTGCAGACCAGTGAAGGAAGTTGGTATACCGGCATGGAGAGGTGATGATGTTTTTATAACTGAAATAAAAAATAAATCATGTATTATTAAAAAATACAATATACATTTTTGTATATTAATTGAACAGCAATTATAACTTAAGAGTACTAAGAGATGTTCAACTAATTACGTCGGTTTTATAGATGGCAAAGCAAGCAAATGTCCTATGTGTAACATTATTTATTATTATGTACAATTTCTGCAATAGTAATGATTTTTTATTGATGCAGAAATTCGGGGAAAGAACTAATTTCACCTAAAAACATACTGCTAAAGCGGGTTTCAAATCTTGGACCTCTGATTCAGATACCATAGTTCCAACCACTAACAAGCCCATACATCAATATTAATCTCGATTCGAGATTCTCGACCTCAAAATATGTAAGGATTATATACAACTAGAATGGAAATAATATTCTGACGTCGTTCTATAAGACTGTTCAATGACATAATATAGCAGCTGTTTACTTCTTTTGTTGCGTTAAAATAACAATATCATTGTAACGTAACTGCGAGATTTTTTATTTCTTGAATGGCCATTACAAAAAAGATGAAACACATAAATATTTTGTATGAAAACATCACAGGACAACGTTTTAATTTAATTTATATTTTTGACAATGTTCTGGTGTTTATTGAATTTTTAAATGTTTTATTTAAATATTTTCTTTATTGTGAGAAGTTAGACCATACCTACGGAAGAACACTAAATTGCATAACAATATGAAAAAAACGTTTTGGATTGATTAAAATTGTCTTTGACGATTTTACGACTGACACAATTTCTATTAACTAATAAAAATTATTCTTAATTCATAGAAACAATAAAAAAATAAAATGCAATAAAAAACTCAAACAGTTGGTCTACTTTCAAATGTATATCATAAATATCTAAGAAATACTTTTATCCAGAAGTTCTTTTTCTTAAGTTATTTAAAAGCACAAATAAGTATAGAAAAGTATCCGGAATAGGAGGCAGAATAGTACGAAACTTGAGAAGACAGAAAAAAGAAATAAAAACGTCACTTAATCACAAAGAAAAATTATAAAAGATAAATATTTTTATGTTTACTGAGAAATGTATAGACTCACTATGTTGCATCATCATGGGACCAGATGTAGGAACTGATGGCAAGTGACTTTGCTTCACTGTTTTATTGTGAAATTCTGCTTCCCAGGAATGAGACCCACTACGTTTTAGTCCTTGACCCTTATTCTGCAAAGTAATGAAAATGAAGCAATTCAAACAAAGAAGTAATAATGATAAAAAATAGAAATTATACATATATTAGTTAGTGGAAATTAAATAAAAAATACAAAAATTATAACAAATGAATATTATGTGTTCCATAATGCACTTGCTACCCGAGATAAAAAGCATTATTAAATCTAAATTACTTCTAAATTAAGCTAATTGTAACTACTATATATAAGTGTAGTGTCTACAAGAAAAATTATTGATGAAGTGTTTCATCACAAAATGGAAACTATTATTTGGGAAAAGTATTTCGATAACTGACAATATAAACTATTTATTTACTATGAATTCTTAGTAAAAACTAAATTGAATGTAAATTATCATTTTACTCACTTGTTTGTTTTTATCGCCGCCTTTTCTGTGACCACTCTTGCGTTCATGAGCTCTGGAACCTCTAGCTTCCCTGTGTTTCCGGACCATGATTTTAGCCATATCTTCGTTATGACGAGCAAGCATAGCTTTAGTTAGCTGAGGTGGCCTATTGACACTCGACCCATTTCCTGATCCTGAACCAGTTCGCGAAGCTTCTCCTCCACTTGTTGTCACACTTCCATGAGGATGAGTGTTTGCTCCACCACCATTGCTTCCAGAGCTTATATTTCCACTGCCACTTCCATTGCTACCACTTCCACCACTAGAAATAATTGAGCCAAATATTAAATTATAATCTTTTTATCTCTAATCTCTATTTTAAAGCTATAGTAAAATTTTATCTAAGGGAGTTCCCTTACTCTTGTGAATCCTGCTTTCCTTCCAAATCTGTGTCAGTGTGACTATTACCGGTAGTCGCCTCGTCAAATGACGTTTTTGGTTTACTTTCAAAGAACCTTTAAATTATAGATAATGCATATGGAATAAGTAAAAGAGTTTCCACGATGTATTAAAATAATGCTGCTCTTATTACCTTTGTATATTTTCATTATAGTTCAATTGATTATAACTGGGAGGTGTTTCAAAACTGCTTTTACTGTCATAAGACTCGTGATGTGGTGATATTTCGCCCAACATAACCGAATCGCGTTCTGAAAACGTTGGTTCAACTTTGAGAGGCAAAATTTCCTTGGACGTTGGTTGAGCTACGTCATCTATTAAATTTTCCATATACGAAGCCAGTGCTTGACAACGTTTATAAAATTGGCGCTTAACATGTTCAGCAGGTCGTCGAATCACCTTAATGAAGGTATTTAGAAATAATAGTTAGTACTGTTCATAACTGATTTGAAACTTCAAGTGCAAAATAACTTACAATTACCTCTTTTAACAATTGAAGAATTTCTTGTTGAATTAGTTTACTCTCTTTCAAAACTTCTTCAGAGATGCAGCTTGTTGGATTACTTTGTGCTTCTGCAAAAACATTTGGTGTTGGTGGACCCTAGAATAGAGACACACATGATACATTAAAAATAAACTATATGAATTACTATATTCATTTTGTAATTCTATTCCTTATTACAAAAACTCATAAACTTATAAGTTTGTTATACCTTTAAAACTCTGTGCAGTCCTGTAACTATTTCAAGCTTCCTTGACCAAGGGTTGACAAAACTAGACCATTCTGTTTCTACCGTTGCATAACCACCATTTTGAACTAGAAATCTATTGAAGTATTAAACTTTATAATAAACGATAAAGTATATTTAATATGGATGCACTAGATTATAGATGGTGAGTATGTGACAAAAAATTGAAGCCTATATTAAAAATCAAGAGTTGTTCATAATAGTTGTAGTCTGATCAGGATTGTAACATATCAATAGTACAATTTTTTTAGAATATGTTTTCAACATAATTTGATGGATATTCTACACTAACCTGTAGGGTTTGCTTCTGAATGATGTACCCACAGCTCTGCCCTTCTCAACAACTTCTTGATATATTTCTTGAAGCAATGGCAAATCTTCAGGGTGATAGAATTCGAAAACGTTTCTTCCGATCATATCTTGAGGCAAAAATCCGCATGCAGAAACAGCACTGCCATCAACGTGGCTTAATGCACCATTGCAAGTATGTCGGGTGGAGAACCGAACGTCTTTCTTGGTTTCATTAGGTACTGAAATATAGAGATTTTCAAAAATATTGGTTACGCACCTTTTTCTAAATAAAGTTTTCGTTCGGTCAAATAACAATTCAAATATTTCTGAAACTCGTAATATGTAATAACAAGTTGCAACATTATGCATAAAAAACTTTGCAAGCTGTTTAATTGATATGTAACTTAATATAAGATCATGATAATAATAATAACTAACAAATAATAATAATATAACTTACAAGCATATGCAGAATGTACAGGTGTCGCTGTCATGACCAGTAAAAGACCACTATCTGCAGGACTCAATGTGTCTGGTGGCATTTGTTCCTTGCTCATAGCTTCTCTGAATGAAAGTTTCAATTCGAATGGACGATAATTGACAATATTTTCAGTCATTCCACAACTAGAATTTCGCATTCCTCGATAAATTCGAAGTAGCAGGAATAAACTGCTTTTGTTTTCCACTAAAAGAAAATTATTTATCATTAGAAAAAGAAATATACACAATTGTGTAGAAAAAAGTTGATATCTTAAATAAAAAAATATGTATGTATAAATTTGATAACCGAAAGTAGGATCATTGACAAACATTTTATGAGCAGTAAAGAAAGTATTAGTAAAATGGCAAAACTAAAAATAATCGTAATAATATGATGTTATATTTGAATAAATTTAAATTTGAACTACGACTGTGTTAAACTCTAGTTTAAATCAAGAGACTGCAACCAACTTCCAACTGCAGCCACCTAATGCTAATATTTTCGAAACGATTAATACTAAAAACCACTATTTTGATATATCAGATTTATCAACCAGATTACCAGATTATTCGACTGTGTCAATTTTGAACAAGATGATTAGGGTATAATACAATTCATGTATAAAAAATACAACCATTACCATTATTATGGGTTAAAAGTGATTCCTTGATATGAGCTGTAAAAGTTTCTCTATCTTTTTGATGCATAAAATCCATAAAAGTTCGACCCAACCACATATCTTTGGGAAATCCCAAACTATTTGTCACTGTTGGTGATGTAAACAAAACTACTCCATCATGCATTGAGATAACGCAGCAAAAACCCTCCTAAAATAAATACAAACATATTAGCAAAAATTATCATATCGTAAAAAAAGTTATATAAATGCATAGTCCACAATTCGTACATCTTCATTTATATTTGGTGGAGTTTGGGATGTAGTATCTTCTCCCGGCGTTTCAGCAATCTTCTCCAAAAGCGTACTGGAAGCTAAAATGGAAATCAGAAATTCTACTAATGATTATTTAATAAAATGTTACATATCGTAAATTCTCACCAATTGGTTGTTTTTCGACATCAGGAACTGTAGAACTAAATTTATTATCTACGCTCATAAGCAACGGGGCATTTTCTGGGATTGTGACAACTTGGGTTTCAATTGTTGTACTCTGCTGTGCAACTGTAAGCAAAGGTAACCATCAAAACAAAATTCTCTATACGATAATCTGAAATACGATTAGTATATCACCTGAATTTGGTACGATTATCGAAATATCCGGAGCATTTTCGTTATCTGCGATTGACTTATCGGTTACTGCAGTCTTTGGGGGTTTTATTTCAGTGACTTCGGTTTGAGAAATAGGAGTCAGCTTTTTCTTTTTATGATTTTTATCTTTGACATGTTTTGTTTGTTGAATAGGGGCATTGTTACTGCAATGATAATAAACAAAAAATGCATTATTCGACACTCAAAATGTTTTATATTAGGCTTTCATGGTTACCAGTAAGGCGCTTACCACAAGGCTACAAATAACCAATCGATTTCAATGTATTTCAATGGAAATTTTAAAATAATACGTTTCCAATATTCAATCAAAGTGGAAAAGTAAGTATTGTTAATAAATTTAGTAATCTATTTATTCTCTAATTAATCGTGATTCAATGTTATGGGAATTAGTATGGCAACACATGAAAAGCACACAAAGTTTATTTAAGTTTAGTTAATTATGATGTAATGTATAACGACAATAATTCTAATTTATTGCACTTGTATGATCTGCAAATATCACGTGTATTAATCAAGTGTGAAATCTGACTTGGACATAAGATGTTATAAATATAGTATCAGATGTAAATGTTATTCTGAATTACTAAAATCACGAATATTTGCATAATTTATATAAAATATAGTCATTAACTAATTTTTTTATTCAATGATTTTTTTTAATCAATGTAAATCTAAATAAACTCTGCCTTTGTGTTGAACATCTTAATAATTGTATTTTGATAAATTATGTCTTATTGAAAATAAATAGATAAATATAATATACTTAAAGGTTTTAGTAATAACATCAATTTTTATGTGTTCTTCAATGATTTAGAAAAAAAAAATTAGATGCATGGAAAACGTTCCTCAAATGGTAGGAAACATAATATACAATGCCAAATTATTTCACAGTTGCAAAATTTGATCTACTTTTGTTATTTTAAATTGCGGTATGGTCTTACTTCATTTTGTTCTTACCCGACTAAATGACAAACTAAGGAAAAATAATTGAAATACGTTTTCAGCTAAAAAATTTGTCAGTAGGGGAAGTAGGGATAAAATGACACGGTGTTTTTTTTAGTTTTTTTAATTTTTAAGAAAGCAGTTCACAAATAAATCGTTTGGTTCTCTTTAGGGCATCAGCACATGAAACATGATCGCACAAAAAACAAATCATACATAAGACCTTTGCAATAAATGCAAGTCTCCTCTTTTCACTGGTGGATCTTTTAGTCTGTTTTTAGAAGTAATTAGAGTTGAAGTTAAAACTATAATCTTTAACAGGAATTATTTCTCTTTTATTGTGCTTTGAAAGCACTACTATGTAGTTCTTTCAAAATAGTACGTCGTCATTTTGTCCATTATATGAAGTGATAAAATATTAATAAATAATCAAAATTTCATCGAAAGCTCCATAATTATGATAAAATTGATAAAAATCACTGGTACTTGGCGTTCATAGATTTTCATAGAAATAATTACAAATAACAATAATGAATTGGTCACCAAAAAACTTGACAAAACCACTTCCACAATAAACTTTTGAATTTGCTGAACTCGTATCAATTACTACGACAAGACTGTGGCAATGACGTTCAACGTCTGACAGGATTGTGATTAAGATTTTTTCATGTTATACAGTTACTAAAACTAGACAATTTTTAAAAAAGGCATTGTGTCATTTTGTCTATATATAACTTTCTGTCAATATTTTCCCTATAGTATAGTAAATGATATAGTAAATCCTTGTTCATAAATTTTATTATTAAAACTAATATTGAAAGAAGTACAATAATTATGGAATTTCGGTAACTTTTACAGATGAATATATGGATTTTCGTCAACATTAATTATCCGTCGCTAATTAGAAATTATTTTTTTTTAATAAATTGTAAATTATCTAAGAAAAATTATTCTGAAGTCAGTTTTTACGTTAATGACTCTCTCTCTCTCTCTCTCTAAACTATACTTTACGTTTTACAAGGATCAAGGACAGCTTGCAATTATTCAGTAATACTTGATCCAAATTTAATTATTTGAAATGCCATAGGTAATACAGTACTTTAAACAGCTATTGAACTCTAACTTCGCATAAAACCAGTATATTAGACTCGAAACGTAGGCGTCTCAATTAAAACGTTTCCATACTGCTTGTTATTAATTAAATATCGCAATTTAATTAGTTAAATAACTCGGAATTCGTTTCTAGTAGGTTTAGTTACGCGATTATCGTTGTGTAATCGAAATTGAGTTAACGCATTAACGTTTTCTACGTAAATATTATGATGTGGAAAACCAATTACTAGCATTGTATAAAAACACGTGCTTTGATGTGGGTCAGTGTACAACAAACTCGCGTTTGCTCAGGATCACATGAAATATGTAACACAATGTTTCAAATGTTGCATAAAACTGTTATGTAAAAAATATTCTCAGCAAATAAGTATCAAATAAGTTATCGAATATATATTACATCAAAATTCTTGTTACCATATTGTTTATCCAAAACATTCTGTTAAAAAAATTGCGGCTCAATTTATGAAATATTGCATTTAATTGCGAAACGTTAATGCGAGCTATATCCATTTGGTATCATTTTGAAAAATAAAAAGTTACATCCAAAACTCGAAATTTGGACCCTTGACAAATCACCTAATGACGTCTTTAATATACGAGCCAAAGATAGCTAATACGCATATCTTTCAAGAGCTTTTACCAGCAATACTAATACTACCAAAAGCTAAATATTTTCTCAATATAAATCAGATAATTTATTAAATATTAAATATTTACTTTTTCTGTTGTAAAAAATAAGAGCAAAATTCTGTTTATATTGCTTTATATTAAGAAGAGTCCTGACTTGATACCAGGACGGCAAATCAACCAATTAAACATAAAATTGAAAGAAAATTAATGCACTTCAATGTTAGAAAGAATTTATCACCTATATTACTTAATACTTTCATTTAGTATATTATTAATTATTTAAGTGGCGCTTAATTTTGTATTAAATCTACTATTATATTGAAATTATACCATATCTATATATTTACTATATTGTTCTGAAATGATTATAGGGAAAATGAATTTGATAATATTGAGTTTAAGCTTTAAAATTAATTATTATCTAACAATATTAGTTTCTTGAAAACTTGAAAGCTATTGTTTGAAGAATAATTAAATTATCAAATGATCGACAACATGATCATTTTTTAATTTTAATTAAATTTGGGTAAGTCTAACTTTTCTGTATGATTGGTGAATTTAAAGTCAAACGTCAGAAGGTCTTTGTGACGTAACAGTGGATGAATTTTCAAAAGTAATATATAATGCATACAATGGTTTTGATCATCCTAGCATCACATATAAATTAAACTTTGCAAAAATTTGATCAGAATATGTTGTAGTTGTTAAAAAAGTTGAAATATTAAATTTTCTCCATTAATTAACTAAATAATTACACATGTTCACAAAAAAGTTGACTGGATTGAGTATGCGACATATGTTTTCTAATCTATTTTTCACCACTGAACAAGAATCTAAAATTTTATTGTCATAATACTTAAAATTTTATAATTTCTTTCGTTAGCAGGTCCTTTAATCTCTAAATGACCTGGCAATGGATTTTTTTCTAGGCTTTTTACATATCAGATAAGTATCTTTCTGCAGCTTTCAGCAGTAATTTGCAAACATATTTACCCCCAATAGCTCCTAGATAATTTGCAGAACATGTTTGCAGTTACCTCAAAAAATGTTTGCAAATTAGTGCTGGAAGTTGCAAAAATACCGAACTGAGATTTAAGGATTAAAAGCCCAGGAATGGATAGAAATTATGGAAATTTTAATAATCATGCAAAAAATTCAAGATCGATAAATTTGTTTTTTTTTTCATAATTTTTCTGCTTTTTGACCTCTTATTTTGATCTTAGATTCGTGTTTAGCAGTAAAAAATACATAAAAAACATAGGTCTGTGTAATTATTTAATCAATGAAGAAAATTTGATGTTTTTTTTTTTTTAATAACGAACCGGATAGAAAATTGTCAAATCTCTTATCACAATATTATGAACTACGATGTAAAGTTTACTTTAAGGTGAGAACCGCTTATAAGTTTATAATTCATTTTATGATCTCTTAACTCATGATCTTTGAAGATTTTTGTTTTTTCAATCTCATTATATAATCCTTCATCATTTCGATATAAAGTAATAGTAGGTAATTCTTCTTTCACGTCAAGGATTCGCGTAAAATTCGTCCTTGAACTGCGTCGTTGTCACTATGCGACTGTTGTTTTTATTACGCTCATCAGAGGTTCACGTGTCCGTACACGTGACCCGACACGTTTTGGTCGGGGGTGCGCGGTCAGGAGGGATACCACGTTTTGTGAAGCACGCCAGACCTGAGAAGCTTCACAAATCCATCTAATACAGGCGGAAAACAACAAGCTAATAGACAGACACACCCTTTCTTCTAGAACTTGACGGGAGACTAGGCTAGGTGAAGTTTTTATTTTATTCGTCACATTTGAAAAAAAATCTATCATCATTCTAGAAAAACTTTTTTGTTCCTCTGAATTTCTTTATTCTAGATGCAAAAGAAGCTATCTTATATAACATGAGAGGGTGAATCGCTAGATCAATTCTAAAATTTTTAAAAGCTGTAGCTTTTCAAGGTGGCCGGCATGTTCGGACGTATTTTTAACTTCCCGTAAGGTAAGGCAGGGTAACCGATTTGAATGGTTCAAAGAGCATTCGTTTCCTATTGATGAGGAGACGTGCTGATTAGTTTTTGACGAAGATATGTTTAGTGACTTTTGAGGTATGGAGCATGGAGCAAAAAGGATCAATCGATTTAAATGATCGGAAAAACATTCGATCCCTAATGATGCGGAAAAGTGGTGATTAGATTTTGGCAAAGGAAGGTAGTTTTTGAGAGAACTAAGCTTCCGATTTGAATGATTTAGAAAACTTTCTGCTTGTGTTGACAAAACGGTTGCTTTTGGGGAGATAAATTCTTTTTATTTCAAGTTTTTCAATTAAAATTTTTTTTTGAATATCGAAAAGTAATTCGGATTTTAATTCCAATTATAGCTAAAGTTCTAAACATCACTCATATACTTCAAATAAATAGTTTTAACTTTTCAATTTGGTTTATATTATACATA